GCCTGCAGAGATCACCCCACCCCGTTCACGCCCTGCGCTCGGCCGAGGTGAGTTTCTCCCCGCGGAGACGGGTTGTCTTTGACTGCGGAAACGCCCACCCCCGAGATGGATGGGGAGCGTGGGGCCAGACTGGGTTTCAGACTTGAGCCCCTTCTCTTACTATGTGATCTTGAGTAAGTTTTCAGCTTCTCTGGGCCTTAGCTTCGCAGAGCGACGATGAAATGGGATAAAGCCAGTGAACACACCTGTGTTCAGTAAGTTCTAATGATCATCTGGTTTTTCTCTTTCAGATTTATCTTTTATTATTAATAAATTATTTTATTGGGGCTCTTACAGCTCCTATAACAATCCATACGTCAATTACATTAAACTCATTTGTACATCTTTTGCCATAATCATTTTCATTCTGCTTGAGCCCTTCGTATTAGCTCCTTTTTTCCTTCCCTCCCCCATTGTCCCACTCTCATGGACCCCTGATAAATTATAAATTATTATTATTTTAATGTCTTACACTATCCTCTGTCTCCCTTTGCCCACGTTTCTGTTGTTCGTTCCCCTGGGGGGTGGGAGGGTTATACGTCCAAAATTGTAGATGGGTCCCCATTTCTCCCCGTTCTCCCCTCTCTTCCCCCCACACTCATGGTATCGCCACTTCCATTACTCTTGCTGAGCTGGATTCCCTGTGTCAAGACCTCTTATCTGTACCAGTGTACATGTTCTGGTCTAGCCGGATTTGTAAGGTAGAACTGTGGTCAGGATAGTGGGGGAGGAAGCATTAAAGAACTAGAGAAATGTTATGTGTTCTGTAAATACTGTGCTGCATCCCGGCTGGCTCATTCCTTCCTTGTGACCTTTCTGTGAGGGAATGTCCAATTGTCAGATGGGCTTTGGGTCTCCTTTCCCACCCCTGTCATTTGCATCAACATATTTGTTTGATTCCCGTCTTCTGAAGCTTGTTACCTGATCCTGTTGACACCTCACGATCACAGACTGGGGTGCTTCTTCCATGAGTGCTTGTTGTTTCTCTGATAGATGGCCGCTTGTTTAACTTCAAGCCTTCAAGACCCCAGACACTTTATCTTTTAATAGCCGGGCACCATCAGCTTTCTTCACCACATTTACTTATGCATTCATTTTGTCTTCAGTGTTCGTGTGGGGAAGGTGAGCATCACAGAATGCCGGGTTATTAGAACAAAGTTCTTGTGTTGAGGGAGTACTTGAGTAGAGACCCAGTGCCCCTCTGCTACCTTAATGCTTAACATTTAAATATATGTACATCGACTTATATCCATATTCATGTATTTTTATATTTACATATGTGCATGTCTGTATTTGTACCTCTATAAATGTCTTATGCCTCCTAGTGCTTTCCTGTATTTCTTTTTACTTTCTTCCTGCCCCAGTCTCATGTTCGCCCTTCAACTCTCAGTACTTTCTCTCGGCTACATTGCACTTTATCAACTCCGATTTTAGATCTCTTATTGTTCCCTTGTCCCTGGGTTTGTTGACTTCCCCCTCCCTTTCTCCCACCTCCTTCTTTCCCATGTCCCCTTGGAGACATCGCCCCGTTGTTTTCCCCTGGGGATTGGTTGTCCTGCCTGTCATATGGATAGACATGAGCAAAAAGAAGAAAAAGGCGGGTGGGAAAGAAACCTATAAATCGTTCCAGGTCTGTCTGCTGGCCCTTCTGGTTGTTTTCCAATCGGATCTGGGGAAGTGTCACACCCTGCTCACCAATTCTGAAAGTCTATTTTCGGGATTCCTCGGGGACTTCAGTGCTTTGCTCCCCTTGTTGCTCTGTTGCGCCCCCTTCGTGTTTTACTCTGGTGTGGTGGCGGCAGACCGGGCACAATATCTGCACTGTGTCTCCAGTGCTGTCCCCCCTTAGCACTGTGGGTCAATGAGGGGGCATCGTGTCTGGGTCATCTTTTTGTTTGCTTTTTCACCTTCAACTGTATCAAGAGCTCTGACTTTCCATGGGAGTTTAGAAAGGCTTTATAGAAGTTGTCAGGGGAGGGAGTGGGGGTGTGTGAATTCACTTGCTTAGGCACCTGCCTTGAGTTTGCAAAAGACTGGTTTGTGTTGACTTGCACCCCACTTTTGCTCTAGCACTCTGTTAAAGTGAAACTCACATCTGAACCTTCCCTGGAGATGTGGCTACTACTAATTCTTTCAGCTTGTCCATTACTCAGGGCAATAGGACTTCACTTGATAGTTTGATCACGGCTGTTAATGTATTTTCCCCCAAGGACCCAAGTTTCCTCATCTATAATACAGGAGTCGTCTCAATATGATGCTATCTGGGACCATTGGAGTTTTCAGACAGTGGTAATGTGTTTTGAGATTCTCCAGAGATGGTTCTAACAGGTTTCCCAAGAAGTAAAGGAAATTGATGGAGACAAAGGCTTCCTTCATGGCGCTCCAGTTGTCATATCTCCTCACATTTGACTGTGTGCTGTCCATGAGTGGGTGTCATGGGCATGCTGTGTAGGACAGATGACAGGCCCTGGTCCCAGGATTGTGGGGGAAACGGTTATGTAAATAGAAAAATGTATCAATGTGCTAATGATGCCAGTACATGGGAAAAGCCAGAAATTGAAAGCTATCTGAAGGATGAGCAAGAGTTATTTAGGCAAGGGGTGGGGGAGGACTTGGGGAGGGAACGTATGCAGAGGTCTGGAGTCAAGTGTTAGCTGGTTCTGCAGTGCCTGGAACCTGGAGTCTTAAGTGAGAAAATGGAGAAATGAGGACAACAGGGGCAAGGTTATGAAGGGCATTAAGGAGTCTGGACTTTATCTTAAGGTTAAGGTAGAACTACTGAAGGTAGGTTGAGGCTTGGAGCCACATGGTCAGATTTGGTGTGTGGATGATAGGAGGAGGGACCACAATGGAAGCAGATGAGGCATGAGCAGGCTCTTACCATAGTTTAGGTACCTCGATAATTGAAGCTAAGTCAGTGGCAGTGGAGGTAGGTGTGGGTGGATTGAAGAAAGATTTAGGAATTAATATATTTTGAACATTTCACAAACATGAAGTATTTTGGACATTTCACAAACATGAAGTATTGTAGTCTTACAGTATAACATAACAAATATTATATTTTTTATAGTCTTAATAGGATTCTTTACCCAGTTAAATAGACTAAATTGGGTCATCATCACAAGTTTCATGTAGTTTTTCTAAGCTGGCTTCCTTTCTATATGGGAGAAGATATCACCTATTGAAATCATGATAATATTCAGAAATTCTTGAGTAGAACTGCCAATACTTTCCTTAGATGGCTTAAATTTTATTTTAAAGCCTTTTGGATTAAGCTGTGAACATGTTGTCTGCTTTCACACTTGTTATTGTCCCCAGCCGTGAGTCTTTGATGAGGTAGGACATAAGAGGAAGAAGAATATGGGCCAGGTGCCCTGCACAACGTTTAGATATAGTGGATCTGAAAGTCACATCCAGGTCTGTGCAGGCCCAGGGCCTGAACTGGTCCTCTGCACTCTGCTGCTGGAGTTGCTGAGTAGTTTGGTACCTAAAGGACATAGATACCAAAAGGCCAGGGTGAGCTGAATATACTGAAGACATGCGCGCTTCACTGAAGAGTGAAAAAAGGGATTGAGGACAGAACCCTACAGGAGATCAACATTTATGAGAGGAGAAGAAAGATCAGTGCAGCCAGAAAACACTCTTTAAAACTGCTCCATCTTTTTCTTGTATCTCCCAAATTCCAGGTATGTAGGCAGTTGCTATAGAGCACATCTCTGCAAAAGGGGAACGAGCCCCACAGAAAAAGAATCTAGGATTTGAGGATAGTAAAACTTGAATTTAATACTACACTACACACACACGCACACCCCTACACACACACACCACCCAGTCTCTCTTATATCCAGGACTTCTTCCAAGCTATTTTTTTTTCCAAGCTAAACTTGAGAATTTCAAAAATCGAGTGCTGCCAGAAGTCGGTTGCTGACAAGCTCAGCGCCTGAAGCTGCTAATCCAGGCCTGGGTTGGAAAACTGCTGTCGCAGGAAGAGAAGCAGGAAGCTGAGAGCTGAAAAGCACTTTTGTTTTCTACTTGGGCCCCTCCACTCCTTCCTTTGGTGCTCTTATTCTTTGCACCTCTATTAGGTCTTCCCACCTCCATAATCATTGCCTCCCACACTTTACCTCTTGGTTTTCAGTTTCACCTGCAAAAGAAAGGGGAAGCAAGCATCAGGTTTCTTCTTCCTTTTCTCTCAGGCCAGGTTTTTGTTCAAGCTCTTATCCCAGGTGTAATTTCAGAGGCCCCTGGGTGCCCCCTCACTCCCACCCCATATGTGCTAAGAAATCTGAAAGAGGCTAACCGGTAGGTCACTTGTTTGGGGAGCAAGCGCCAGAAACTAGCCATGTGCCCTGAAGGCAGCAGCAGGCTACCTCAGGTGAAACCCAGACATGCTTGCCTGATCCCTGAGAGTAATTGCCCTCAGCTGCCTGTGGTTTGCTGTCCACATTGATGATCAGTTTTGTTTGTTAGGGTTTTTTACATTTATTTTTTGTAGCAGAAAAGAGTGGTTTTCATAATCAGGTTATGTTAGACTATAAACTCTTTCAAAAAACAAAATCTTTCCTGGGTCAGAAGTGTTAGGAAAGACAGTGTATTGGTGATAGTCAACAATTTGTTTTGTGACTCGCTCTACCATAATATTCTTTTTCTTTTTTTTCTTCTACCATAATATTCTTGATGCCCTTCAGAACTTGGAAACAAAGGTTGTATTTATAAAGGTATTCTTAACAATGAAATCAATCCCAGGAAAGGGATATTTACAGTGCTGATGAGATCAAGGGAACAAGTTATTTCTATTTTCTCTTGGAGCATGTGTTCCCTTTCCTGACCCCTGTACTTGCACAATCCCTGCTCATCCGCTGCCGCTCCATGCAGGGATCCCAGGCACGCTTGACTCCTGGTTCCTCTTTCTTGCTGGCCATGACATTCTGTTCTGCTTCTGAGACAGCTCACTTTATATCCAGGGGAATAGCAAATCTGTCCAGTCTCCTCATTAGAGTTTTAGTGTTCTCTATACCTTCTTTGCATAATCTCATCTAGTCATTTGGTGGGAGTCATAAAGATTATGGATAGAAGGACCATACCAAGTAACTTCACTTCACTGCAGTAGGATTATGCAGATAAGATGCAGGAGCCTTCCAAGGGGACTGAACAGATTGCTAACAAAGCAAATAAGGTACGTTGACTCCTAAGGAGCAGATTGGCTCAGTTTTGCCTTCTCCTTAAAAAGACAGCCAATCCCAGAACAGAGAAGGAGCCTCACTACCATCAAGAAGAGCTAAGAGCAGGGTATGTTCTTGTACTGACAACCTTTCAGACCCAGGAGACAGAGAGAGCTGTAATGCTGGAGATGTTGTGAGATAGTGAGAAGTGGTGGCCACAGCAGCAGAACCAGGAGACCTGCACAAGACAGCATGGTGGGCTTCCCAGCATACGAAGCAAAGTGGCTACAGCGGGTATGCCTGCCAGCGAGTAGGAGAGCTGAGTGCCTCCAAGCAAGATGTTTCCTGGCAGAACGGAGTGCTCAGGCAGGAGGCATTCTGCTAGAATGGGTGCTAAAGAGCTTTGTAATACTAGCCTGAGCTTACAAATACAAAGGCCAGGCTTAGAAGAACTTGTGCTCAGGAGGGTCACAAGAGCCCAGGCCCAAGGAGGGGCTGGTAGCAGAGGCTTACTTGTGAGCATGGCTGTAAAGGAAGCTGTCCAAATCTAAGAGCTGTATCCTTAGTCCCTAATAAACCCCATAATTTGTTGTTTGTATGTTCTGTGTGGTCATTGCAAATCAATTAATGAACCTACAGAGACTTAGAGAGTGCCATGGGAGAGATGGCTAGTATTGGGTAAAGCGGGTAAAAACATGGGTGTGAAGAAGTACACCTGACCTCTGCTTCATAGGATTGGGATTGTGTTGCTGTTGACCTTGATTTTTCTCACTCCTGTAAAGCTAGATAAGAGCTGATGCTACCATTTTAATGGACTTTGAACATATATTTTTATGTTTACCTGCCTTGTTCTTGTCTTATTTTTCAATAACTGCTCCTTGAATCCTTGGCTCTACTACTTAGTTGTTGATTGGGGAACAAATAACTTTACCTCCCTAAGCTTCTGTTTTCTCATCTGAAAAATACAACTCACTCAATGCCTAACAGCATGGATGACCATGCCCCTGTGAAAGGGATTTGGAGTCTAGTTGTGACAACCTCCAAGGAACATTTATTTCATCCTTAGGAACAGTGGCTTCTTCCTGGGCCTTTAACACCTGGTTTTCCTTTGTCCTACAGTGACCTTTGCTTGCTTGTATTGGCTTGAGACCTTATTTAGTTAAGGCTGGATACTGCAGGGTATAAACTTCAATGCATCTTTGTTTCTTGGTATTGAACCTTTGAAACAGACCTTTAGCCTTGTAGAGGGAAGGACAGCCAAGCCAGGCTGGTTATCTGGTTAGTATTTACCCAGGGCCTTTTGACTTTGGTTGGTCTTGGACAGCTAATCTCAGTTGCTTCTTTCTACAGCGATATATATGCAACCATCTATTTGTTCCCCTACCCCCTCTGCTCCTCCTTTATTCATCTGTGTCTGGCCTCCGTTTGGCTGAGGTCTTGACAAGCGAGTGGCTGAGCAGCCCCAAGCTGCAGCACTGACCCCCACACCACTCTTCCCATCTTTGTTTCAGGAGGCAATGGCGGCTTCCTGTGTGCACCTGCATACTGGGCAGAAGATGCCCCTGATCGGACTGGGTACCTGGAAGAGTGAGCCTGGCCAGGTGAGGGATGGAGAAAAATAGGGGAAGCTTCTTTTTTTTTTTTTAAAGCCCCATCCTTTTAATAACAATAAAAACCCCAAAAATGGAAAACGAGGGGGCAAGGGAAGAGCCCCCTGGGCCAGGGGTGCGGGAAGCCCTGCTCAAGGCACCAGGCCCAGCCGCAGGGCCCCATCAGGAATTGCTGTTGCTAAGAGGGCGGGGCCAGCGATTGTCCTGTGGGAGCCACCGTTCACTTGGGTCAGGGACCCTCACTTCTTCTGGCCGGTGCTCAGCTTCTGCATGCCCCAGCTTCAGTGGGTTTGTAACAGTCAACCAGCAGCTCCTTGACCCTGGCTGTGCGTGATCTAGCAGCTCATCTACATCAATCTCCAGTCCAGCTCTGGGATCTCCTCTTGCTGACAGTAGTAGAGGCGCGTGAGCTGCTCCAGCATCCACTCCTGCAGGTTGAGACGCTTCCGTAGCTCCTTGCGGTCGGTCCCCGCTGCCGGGCCCTCGCAGGCGGCCTCTGGAAGGCTCTGAAAGGAGACGCGAGGCCCTGGGCCTCGGGCGCAGAAGCTGCCAAGCCGCGTCCCCCGCGGGCCGCTGGCCACGTGCGCGTGCCGGCCCCTCCCTGAGCCGCCACCTCCGGGCTGCCCGCTGGCTGGGTCCCGGCCTCTGGCTCGGGTTAGCTCGCGGCCTCGGATCATCGCAGCGCAGGCGGCGGCCAAGAGGGAAGCTTCTTGAGCCTCTGTCAGGGAAACAGCAGGATTTTGGAGAAGGACCCAGCATTGTTCCTGGCAGCCTTCCCACCTCATATTCTACTTCCTGTAGGGATGAACTGGAGGGTAGTGGGAAGAAGGAACCAGCTGCGAGCCCTCGCCTTCCCAGCTTATTCCAAGAAGAGGCTGAGTGGCCCAGGAAGGCCAAGGATCATAGAAGGCAAGGGAACTGTTTCCCAACCAGATCTATCTTGGGTGCCATGCCAGATGTGAGGCCACATGTGAGACGACAGCAGGGCAGCAGCCTTTATTGGTGATATTGGGCGAGTTGACTTGCCTATTTCACTTCTCATTCATAGCATTTCCTGAGGCCCCTCTGCCCCAACACCCTGTGCCGTGGTCATGTCTTCTCTCCCAAACCCTGGGTCCAACCTGTCCCTAGTGTTCATGCCACAGCCAGGCAGACTGCAGGTGTCAGACTTTGAAGAACAACTCGGTTAATGGTGCAGATCAAGGGTCAGCAAATTCCTAAGGAAGCAGATAGTTAATATTTTAGGCTTTGCTGGGCATGAGGCAAAATGCAGGCTATTACGAAGGGACTTATATAACTATTTAATAAGTAACCATTTAAAAAACAGAAAACCCATTTGTGGATCAAAGGCCAAAAATAGAGGGAGAGCGCAAGGGAACCTCTGCTGCAGTTTAGCAACTCCTGGAGTAGACCCTCACAGCCTGGGTGGGGGAGCCTGGGGATATAACTATGGGATTCAGCTCCCACCTGAGGTGGGGCATCTTCCCAGGACTTTTCCTGCCTTTCTTGGAAATCTGGGTCAGACTGGAGAGAAGTTTGGGAGAGATTGCGGTAGAAAAATGGCCTCTTACATCTGGGAATCAGGACAGCGTTTACGTTGCGGTTGGGTGACTTCTGCATTCTTCCCTTTGCTTTCCTCCAGACCAGCCAGGGCCCTGTTGCTCTGGGCAGGCACTCCCCGTAAACTGGGGACACGTCCAGGAGCTAACTAAGGCACAGTACGGGCCCTTGACTTAGGACCTGGTCACAGAATGAAGGCCATGGTTAAGGTTAAGGTTATAGGGTCACAAGTGGGGAAAGCTCAATTGGATAGTCAGAGCTGCCCTAGATGGGAGTTTTACATTCCATACTAGACATCCACGGCAAGATCTTGAGGGGCTTTCTGGCATTTTGGGTCCTGCTTCTCGTGTGTTTCTAGTCTGGATTTTGGCAAATTGACTCGTCTGTCCTACTTGATGCCTGCTTTCTTCTCTTCCCTCTAGGGCAGCGGTTCTCAACCTGTGGGTCGAGATCCCTTTGGGGCTCGAATAACCCTTTCACAGGGGTTGCCTAAGACCATATTTCTGATGGTCTTAGGAACTGAGAGACCACTCCTCTATCTGTCTCCAGGTGGGTCTGCCCACATGCAGATAGGCCCACACACGGGGTCACTACAACATGAGGGACTGTATTAAAGGGTCGCAGCCTTAAGAAGGTTGAGAACTACTGATCTAGGGACTCTGGGTTCAATTTCTCCACCTTCCTTAAGTTGCTTCCTCCCACTTCTGCTGTTTCTGAACTGACTCTGGCCTGAGCTAGGAATGTGTCATGTTTCCCTAACCAAACTCTCAGGCCTGGGGACCTGTCTCCATGATTGGTATTCCTATTTATCCATCTACTTTTTTTGACTTGAAAGAATATTCATTAATGCCCCCTTTATGTTACCTTATGAGAACAAATGGTATTTTTGTTCAACTCTGCTGAGATGACTTGGGGAAGAAGTGACCTTGGAAGCTTGTAGGATGCAGGCAGGATTGAGAGTCTGGGGCTCTGAAGAGGATTCTCCGCTAGACTAGAGCCATCTTCTGTTTTCTCAACCTCTACTGCAAGGATGGCATGGTCCCGCCTTCTTATCAGTGATCCTTGGAGTGTTGGAGGGAGGACAGTATCTCACTCAGACCAACAGAGATGAAACCTGTTCCTTTTACCTGGCAGGTGAAAGCAGCTATAAAGTATGCCCTGAGTGTTGGCTACCGCCACATTGACTGTGCTGCCATCTATGGTAATGAGGCCGAGATTGGCGAGGCCCTGAAGGAGTGCGTGGGACCAGGCAAGGTAAGGATTTGGGCTACGGAGAAGGGTGGGATGGGAGAGTTCAGAGGCTGAGACTAGGGCCTGGGTGGAGGGAATCTGGTACTAGCTTCCTTTCAGTTCCTCTCCCAGAGGTCAGGTTGGGCGAGACTTGGTGCCCGTGGCTTTCTTCACTTGGGGTCTTGCCCCCTGTACCAGGCAGTGCAACGGGAGGAGCTGTTTGTGACATCCAAGCTGTGGAACACCAAACACCATCCTGAGGATGTGGAACCTGCCCTTCGGAAGACACTGGCTGACCTCCAACTGGAGTATTTGGACCTGTACCTGATACACTGGCCATATGCTTTTGAGTGAGCCATTGCCCAGGTCTTATTCCCGGAAGTGGGGTAGTGTTAAAAACTTACGCTAAGTCATAGTTGGCATAAGAGGACAGAAACACTCACCTGTGTAGTGATCTGAGGAGCTTGCTGTGGCATCTGTGGGTCTTTCCTGCTACAGGAGCCAGGGGTTTAGCTATCAAAAAAGGATTGCAGCTTTATGGGATATATGCCTTGGGCTGTGCATAGGTGGTCTCTCTTGCTCCCTTTATTCGCCCAGGAAACATATTGAACTTTCTGCTAGCTAGGTTTTGGGTTACAGTAATGAAGCCTCAACAGAGCGTGAGAAGAGCCTACCATCACTATTGGGTCCTAGGTTGAAAGGGGGGTTGGAGGAGGATGTAAACCCTGAGGAGGAGTTAAGGAAGAATTCCCGGAGGAGAGGAGCGGACCCACTATCTGTCTAGAAAGAGAAGAAAGGGGCATGGGCATTCATGTAGAATTAACACCTGGAATGGGGGAAAGCATGACTGTTTCTCATTCTTGGCCCTATCTGGCATTGGGGTATGGGGCATAGAATAGTTGGATAAGCAGACCTATCTGCAGGAGCCTGGCATCAGTGCCCACACTCAGATCCCTGTTTCACATTTAGGCAGGGAGACAATCCTTTCCCTAAGAATGCCGATGGAACTATACGCTATGACTCCACCCACTACAAAGAGACCTGGAAGGCTCTGGAGACACTGGTGACCAAGGGGCTGGTGCGGGCTCTTGGCCTGTCCAACTTCAGCAGCCGGCAGATTGACGATGTGCTCAGTGTGGCCTCAGTGCGTCCTGCTGTCCTACAGGTGAGTCTCCAAGCAAGACCTACAGTGTAGGGTGTGGTGTGCTCACAAGAGCATGAGTGAGCAGGTTTTGGCCCTACTAAATGGAAGTGGCTAGCAAGTTGTCAGAGTGTGTACAAGTCAGCATAAAAGTGCAGGTTGAAGCCTTGTTGGGGGAGATGAAATTCCCAATGGAAGACAAAGAGTGAGAAAAGCTGGCGGAATAGGTGGGGGAGTGTCAGCAATTCGGTGTTGGCCAGGGCATGTGTGTCTGGGTGGGGCTGGATAGGCTGGGTGCGGTCACTTTTGATGATGAACTGTTTTTTGGCTCAGGTGGAATGTCATCCATACCTGGCTCAGAAAGAGCTGATTGCTCACTGCCATGCATGTGGTCTGGAAGTGACTGCTTACAGCCCTTTGGGCTCCTCTGACCGCGCATGGCGTGATCCTAATGAGCCCGTATTGCTTGAGGAGCCCGTCGTCCTGGCACTGGCTAAAAAGTATGGCCGGTCTCCAGCTCAGATCTTGCTCAGGTGTGTGCAGTCTTGGGAAGGGGGTCTGGGGGGACAGGGTTTAGGAGGCAGAGGTGGTGTGGGACCTCAGGAGCTTGCAATGTGATCTGGGTAGAGGACACTTGGAGGCATCCTTCTGGTTTTAGCGGGGTTCTGGGCCTCCAAGAGTTTTAGGAAGGCTGCATGGAGGATAAACCAATGCTTAGGAGCACTGACGATTGCTCTTCATCTACCACAATTCTGCTCCTTAGGTGGCAGGTCCAGCGGAAAGTGATCTGCATTCCCAAGAGTATCACTCCTTCCCGAATCCTTGAGAACATCCAGGTACTTGGGTGATCATCTTATCTTCTTCAGCCTTTTGGGGCAGTCTCATCCCAACTCTGCTTGCCTAGAAAATTTGTCTTTTGGAATGGCAGCTTCTACTTACTAGCCTGACTTTTATAACCCCCTCCCCATCCCCTCCCACCCCCAGGTATTTGACTTCACTTTCAGCTCAGAAGAGATGAAGCAGTTAGATGCTCTGAACAAAAATTGGCGGTACATCGTGCCTATGCTTACGGTGAGGATTTGACAACCCCCTGGAGTTCAGGAATGTGACTTTCTACTCCAGTTCTGGTTCAGGGAAGAGGCAGGCTGTTAGTGGTATTAGTGGGAACAGTGTTATCCAGGACACATTGGTCTCTTTATTGGGCTCAGGAATAAAGAGCATAGCCTGTGGTAGTCCTGCCTCTTCACATGTTGTAGTATGTTGTTGGGTGCTGTTGAGCTGGTTCCAATTCATAGCAACCGTCTGTATCACAGAACAAAACACTGCCCATCCTACGTCATCCTCACAGTCGTTGTGAGACTTGCACCTATTGCTGCAGCCGCTGTGTCAGTCCATCTTGTTGAGGGTCTTCCTCTCTTTCACTGACCCGCTACTCCACTAAGCAGGTGTCCTCCACATTGATAAAATGTCCAACGTACATGAGATGAAGTTTCCACACCCTTGCTTTCAAGGAGCATTCTTTTTTTTTTTTTAATCATCATTTTATTGGCACTTGATCCACATATCAAACAATTTAATAGTTCATTCAGATCAAGAACAGATGTACAATCATTACCACAATAAAATTTAGAACATTCTTTTTCCTTGTACTCATTGTTGTTAATGTAATTTTTTTCAATTGTGGCAAAAATAGACACAACATTTCTCCAATGCAACAACGTCTACATATGAAATTCAGTGCCATTGATTATACTCTTTATGTTGTGCAACCATTATTGATAAATTCTTTTCCAAATTTTTCTGTCACCATTAACATAAACTTGGTGTCCCCTAAGCAAAGACTCTTCCTCCTTCATACATAGTAACCATTGATCAATTTTAGTTTCTTATTTATTTTTTTGTAGTAGTTTTCTTTATATAATATTCATGTATCATACACTTCCATAGTTAAGTCACTTTTTAAAAAAGTCATATATCATCACAATAAATTCTAGTTCTCCCTCCCCTCTCCCACATTCATTGTTTCCTCCCCAAGCTCACACACACATATATATCCCTCATAAACCATTTGCATCAGTTATTGTCTCTATGCATCCCCTCCTTCTGTGCTTCATAAACTGGAAAACCTAACAGGAACAATAAGAAAACAAAACCAAAATGAAACAGAAAGAAGAAAATAATAAAAATATAAAGATAAAAATAAAGCGTGAGAAAGAAAAGACCACTATTAATATTCAAAAAGCCAGAGAAGAAATTTATGTCATAGAACAAGCAAGAAATACTTGAGCTTAGAACAAATTCAGGTTGGGTCAAGAGCGAGGTCAACTGACCAATTATCATGTACCATGGTTCAATCCATAATCATGTTTACAATATTCTTTGATAGTAAAACTCTTGGAGTACTCTGGCCAGAGGGTGTCTGCCAGTGGTTTAATCTAAATACTCTGCAGATGAATTTTGGGCTCCCACTGTCCTCTTTAACCTTTTACAAACTGGTTGTTCATGATTTAAGCTCCGATGCTTCTCCCTTCATCATATTTGGATTTTGTTTTCGTCTTTGGATCAAGGAGCATTCTGTCTGAACCTCTTTTAAGACAGATTTGTTCATGCTTTTGGCAGGCTATGGTAAATTCATTATTTTCCACCAATACCATAATTAAAGTCTATCAGTTCTCCTTTGGCCTTCCTTATTTATTGTCCAGCTTTCACATACATAAGAAATGATTGAAAATCCCATGGTGAGGGTCAGGCATACCTTAGGTCTCTGTGTGAGAACTTAAAATCACAGGTGGTTGGTTTGTGTAAATAGAACAGTCTGAAAGCAGAGCCTTAACTCTGTGTTAAAGTCTTGCCATGAGTCTAAAATCCATGTTGAATTTTAAAAGCTTCCTTTTCCAGCAGCAGTTCCTCTAATGTTAATGCTGACCTAACCATATACCCTAAGGAAGACCATCCTTTTCTCTGAGTTCTGGCAGGTGCAAGAGATCACTTTTTATTTCCAAAGGGCTTTTCTACGATGGTTAGATATACTAGCTTATCCCTGAAGGGTCTTACCATACAGCATTATTGGCAAATCTGTATGGGGGATCCCCAGAAACAGACATAATTGATAATGCAATTTTTCCAGGAAAAAACCTGTCCTGCCTCTATCCAGTGACCACCCCATAATTAACTGAAGGATGTGTACCTTTAATTAACCATGTAATTATTATTAATCATGTGTTAATTCACTTAACCCTGCCAAGCCCTCATTTCCAGATAATCCTCCCTGTGTGCCCCCTGATTGTCTTTTAGCCAATTATGATCTTTTAACATTTCAGTTACAAAAACGTATTTTTTTCTGTATTGTCTGGTGGAGTGGCCATTTTCACTCTGGGAACTTGAACTTCTTTTCAGTCCAGACCATCCCTCTCTCTGAATAAGCACACCTCTGTTGCTTTTACTTGAAGCAGACTCTGTGGTGTTGCTGTATAGCACTTTCAAAGTCATAGCTCTGCTTTTGAACACTTGAAAGAGGTGTTTTGAAACAGGTTTGCCCAGTGCAGTGTGTTTGGTTTCATGACTACTGCTTCCATGGGGCTGATGTAGATGCAAGTGAAATGAAACCCTCTATAGCACTGTCATTACATCATGTTTATCATGATGCTGCGCGTTCACTCAGTTCTGAGGAGTTCTGTTTTGATGTTGCGATGAAAGCTAGTTCCTGACACTTGGTAGGTTTAGGTACATTATATCAATAAGGGGAACCGAGAAGGCATTTTTTACTCTTTTAGGATGATTTGGGTGAGGTTGAAGCCTGTTGTCCACAGGGAAATAAATTCCAGCTCTGTACTTTGGCTCAGATGCTAGTTCCCAGCTGGCATAGTGATGTAAATGCATAAGGTTGTGCAGGAAGCTTTGGGGAAGGGACCCTGCTTTTTTTTAGAATGTCAGCTCTTGCTAATGGAGTCATTTGTCCCTCTCTTTCCAGGTGGATGGTAAGCGGGTCCCAAGAGATGCAGGGCATCCTTTGTACCCTTTTAATGACCCGTACTGAAGCACAGCTTCCTGGCATCTCTTCTGGCTCTCCAGCTAAGAAGTCCTGACATCCCCAGAAAGGGGGTATTAAAGCTGTTGGAGGGTCCATCTGCTTGCTTGTCTCTTCTGTCTGGGCAGAGTGGGGAAGGAAATGGTTTGCTTTAGGAATGCCATACCTAGGGCTGCTGGGAATGGCAGCCCAAACTTCTTATTGTGGGGGAACCTACTAGGCTTCTGAATTCCCCATATGCACGCCCTCATCAGGTACACTAGAGGATCACCATCTAGTGGTAGCTCTGGGCACTGCAGGCTGCCAGTGTGATGTTCCAAACCAACCCAAATTCACCAACACAGGAGTCAATGCTGACTCACAACGAGCCCTGTGGGTTTGTAAGACTGCATCTGTTTACAGGAGTAGAAAGCCCAGTCTCCCATGGCGCTTTTGGTGGTTTAAAACTGCTGACCGTGCTCGCTTCGGCAGCACATATACTAAAACTGCTGACCATGTGGATCACAACCCAGCATGTAACTACCACACTACCAAGGTTCTAGAAAGTGTCAAAAATTGGTCCTTCACTTCAGAGATCTGAGAACAGGGTAATGAGTGTCCTATGATTTCATGGCACTGCTGGACCTGGGCTTTGATTTCCTACCCCCTGTTCTGCTGGTAAGTACTGCTGGTGGTGCACTGGTTAAGTGCTCAGTTGCTATCCCAAGGGTGGGCAGTTAAGATCCACCAGCTGCTGTGCAGGAGAAAGATGTGTTGTTAGTCTGCTTCTTAAAAGATGATACAGCCTTGGGAATCCTATGGCGGTGGTTCTGTACTGTAGGGTCATTGTGAGTTGAAGTTGATTTTACAGCGACAGAGTTTTGGCAATGTCTAGGATAGCAATATGAAGAACCAACAACATGGAGAAGTTTGAGGGCATTAATTTGCAAAGTCATGAAATGTGAAGACGGGCTTTTTCTCTCATACATTGCAATCCATGTACACAGGCTGCCTAGGTGATACTCTGCACCAAGGGCCTCTTCACTTTATAGTCCCACCAAAGGCCACTGGTAACCAGGTTTTAGGAAAGTTGTGGGTGGATCCTTCTAAGCACCAGTCACAAAACTCAAGTTTCTCAGATGAGCCATGGCTCCTCATTTGGCAAATACGGGTTAGATAAAAGGCTACCCTCTAGGGATATACCAAGACACATAGGTCCCTACAGTCTATTTGAAGAGGCACCCTCTAAGTAATTGTATAATTAGTTTAATTACAGTTAGACGAAGTGTTTTGAAGAAGTGCTTTGCAGGGGAAGAAGCCTATTGATTTAATCAGCTGAGATCTGAAGGCTGAACAGGGATTAATTAAAGGAGGTAATTATAGAATATTGTCCTATGTAAATTGAGCAGCTTGTGGGGAAAGACTTGAAGCTGCAAGAAGCTGGTGAGAAACCAAAATAAGGTCTGTGTGAGCGAAGCTTGAAAGGGGAGGCCGACTGGCAGGGCGCGCTGCTGGAATTGGGGGCCTGGTAACGCAAGACAGGAGATTGTCAACATTTTGAAATTTGCTCCTGAATAAAACGGAGTTATGAAAGAGTAAGTTTTTAAAAAAAATGTGTAGCCGTGAAAGTTTTGAGCAGGAATAGCAGTCCTGGCACAGTAGAGAATAGGTTTGATGGTCTGTTAGAAGCTATTTCTAGAGAGAAGTCTTTTGCCCCTGGACCTTTATATAGAGTGCTGTCTGAAACAGTCTACCCCTTGGCCCCAATGTACTGGCTACTATTATTAATGCTGAGTTTAGCTGTCACTTCCTTGGGGACTTTTCCTTTATATCATTGTGTTAGTCCTGATAGCCTAGAGAAACAAATCCATAGAAACTCGTGTATAAGAGAGTTTTATATAAAGGGTAAGTGTACATTAAGAAAGCATCCCAATCCAGTCCAAGCCCATAAGTCTGATATTAGCCCATATGTCAGACACAATATAAAGTCATCGCCAAACTCACGAAACATGCAATGACACTGAGTGTAGGATAATCACAGGCCAGTGGGTGGAAAGTCTGGATCCAGTGGCGTAAGCATCTCAGCACTTGCAGGGGTTTCTATGTGGCTTCTTCGGCTTCAGAAGTCTGGTTGCATCAGGGTAGGTCCAGGTGGCTTCTCCAGCCCAAGGCACTAGCGTAGTTCCATGTGTCTTGTCAGCTGCAATGTCTCCTAGGGAGTGAGAAGAAAGAAGTGTCTCCACCTCCAAGGAGGAAATTCAGAGTTCCCATGATTCCAAGGAGTAGACAATGCCCACACAGAAGTCTCATTGGCTATTACCCAATTGACAGACTAGACTCCACCCCTTCACTCATTATCTCTTAAATTGACAAGCTATTATGTAACTACCACACAATCATCCTTTCTTTAGGTGGCTAACTATGATTCCATAGCTCCTTCACAACTTCCACAGTTAGGAGGAGGTAAGGAAACGAAATCATAACATGAAATGATTCACTAATACACAGACCCTTTAAAAGTTATTCTCACCTTAACATCACACTTCTTTTGTCTATTTGTGTAAGCCCTGGACAGTAAGGTGCGTACCGAGTGCAAAGTGAAATGGCAAATCTCACCAAAGATGCAATATCTTTGAAGCAATGAAAGTGATAACGAGGAACACAAATCATATCCAGGACCATTGACAAATGATGATCTCACAGCCAAAATAGATAATAAATACCAAAGAAGGTGATTGGAATATCAGATTAAGGAGGCCTCTGGAGTCCCTGGGTGGTATAAGTGATTAATACACTTGGCTGCTAACTGAAAGGTTGGAGGTTCAAGTCTACCTGTGGCACCTCAGAAGACAAAGCCTAATGATCTGGGAAAAAATAAATCAGCCATTGAAAACCTTATGGAGCACAGTACTACTATGACATACGTGGGGTGGCCATGAGTCAGAATCATGTTGACAGCAATTGTTTATTTTTTAAGGAAGGTTTTTGGGGAAATTATGGCTTCAAATATTTTAGTAAGACTGTTTCTTTATATGAATATTGTTTTCAGTATGACTACAGATGCAGACTTTAAAACATGACTACCTGTGTATGACTGCACTGCTGGAAGGGAGGGAACACTGGCCACTCAGAGATTGCTAACATTAAAATTCTTCATCCTAAGTGCAATTTAAGATACCTTTCAGAAGTTCCCTTGTCTGTAGGGGAGGGTTCCTGGTGGCATTGTGGGTTAGACATGGGCCTGATAACCACAAGGTCAATGTGCAATCACTTTGCAGGAGAAAGATGAAGTTGTTCTCTTCAAGATTTACAGTCTTGGAAATCCTAAGGAGCAGTTCTTCTATGTTCTATAGAGTCACTGAATTGGAATCAATTTGATGGCAATGGGTATCAGGTGGGTGGACAGGGAAGAAGGAACCATCTCATACAAAGGTACCCCCAAAACAGAATTTTTTTCAAAGCTATGTATTTTAATTTTTTTACAGAACAAGCTTATCGCCTTCCAAGTACTCTCCATTACACTTAATATATTAGTCAAATCTACTATTCCACTCTTGGAAATATTTTTCAAATTCATCAGTTTAGATGGCTGACAGCACCTTCATTGTTCTTCACCTCTTCTGCATCATCAAATTGCTGTCCTTTCATGTCTCTCTTCATTCAAGGAAACAAAAAAAAGTCAAGGAGTGAGGTCAGGTGAGTAAGGTACATGGGGCAAGAGAGGCCTGCTGTTTTTTGCCATAAAGTGGCACACTGAGATGGTTGCATGAGCAGGTGCATTGTCATGGTGGCAAAACCAATCCCCTGTCTGCCACAAATCAGGTCTTTTTTTTTTGGTGCACACTTTTCGCAATCTTTTCAGAACCTCTAAATAGCTTGATTAACAGTTTGACCTGGTGGAAGGAATTCCAAACGCATTATGAGTTGACTGTTCGGTCCAGAAGGAGGTTTGTCATCAACATTTGACCTTTCTTGAAATGAGAAAACCACTCTTATACTTGAGTTTTTCACCTAGTGCTGTCCTTGGTAGCTGTGTTCAACATCACAACAGTTTCTGTGGCATTTTTCTCATCAGGAAACAAGATTTCACAGCTTCATGCTGTTCTCTTAGATTGGCCATCACACAAAACAAGGTTTGAGTGAAACTGCTTTTACTAAAAAGTTCACAGTAACTAAAGAGAACCTTCCTAGGCAACACCACTGGGTGCACTAACTCAGTGAGTTGCTTGATGCTCACCTAGCAGGAAAAATGCATATGATGAAATCTCCACTTAGTGGAGCTTTTTTCCATTTTGGGGGTGCGGTGGGGGTACCCCCTCGTACTCAAATAAGGAGATCCTGTGAGAAAGGGGAAAGATAACATACATTAAAAAGAAATAATATACTATTGGCCTAGAAAAAGGTGCTCTATAAAAACTCACTTCAATCAAGTTGTTTCTGACTCAGTGATTCAGCAGGACAGAACAGAGCTGCCCCTGTGGGTTTCAGAGGCTGTAACTTTAAGGGAACAGAATGCCTAATTTTTCTCCCATGTGATCTGTGAAGGAGTTCTTCTTTGTCCAAGGCTTAATAAAACATTGAAAATCCCTTTACTGGTTGAGATTTTACTTTTAGAATGGACATAACATGGTCTGTTACTTTTGAAAGTTGCTTCCCCTTTATGCCTGTGTGGCTCATCCACACTTTGACACCTGTACATTCATGAAACTTCACGGAAGGCCATTCATAGGTCTAGCCCTAAATTTCCCCCTATACTTCTTCCTTTTACAAAGGTGATGCACCTTTGGTCTCTCAAGATGTTAATAGGCTGTTTTATACAACATGATAAACAAGCCCAGCCTTGCGTAATAAATGAAGAGTACATACTGTGCTAGATTAACTAATCCTTTATCTTATACTCCACCCCACTCCCTTATATCCATCAACGTGTTGTTCCTTTCTCAATGGAGTGGAGAGCCAGTACTATTTAATTTTAGGGATACCCTTTTCTCAAACAAATCAAATGCCCTTGTGTAGATTCCAGCCCTTATGTAGATCCCAACTCATAGTTAGTCTGGGTAAACTAGGGAAACAAATCCATAGAAACTCATATGTGTATAAGAGAGAGTTCTATATAA